GGACAGCATGTTTGTGCTGCAGGGCAGGGAGAAAAGATGGGAGAGGAGCTTATGGTCTGCCCTTGCTTGATGTTTCTTTCAGTCTTTATTACTGCTTTTGCTTCTTCTTTACACTTCTTCCTTTAATTTTTCTTTGAAGAAATGTATTACTTTGTTTTCCCTTCATACACTTTTACCTTCCTTTCCTTAGCTACACTGCTCCTATGTGCTATTTTTTCCAGTGCTAACCTTGAGGAAAGGAAACTCTCTATTCATTAAGAGCCAAACAGTGGTGGAAGGAAACATGTGCAGGAGTACATGAAATAGTGCTTAATCCGCTTCCTTAAAGATGTTGGAGAAAATCAGGTTGGTGAGAGACATCTGAGAAATGCAGAACAGCGCGTTGGCAGCCGTGCTCTGAGGAGAAAAGCATCTTTCAGGAAATGGTGAATAACCTCTAAGCACAGTGATGTAACTGGGAAAGGGTAAGAGTGTGTAACAGAACAAGCAGAAAACAATAGAAATTGTTGCTGCCAAGGCTGGGGTTTCCTGCATCTTTGAGGATTTTCTGTAAAATCATGGTTTTGAGCTGCTTGAGATATCTGCACTGAACTTGGAAGCTAAGAAATCTGTGTCTGGCTGGAAGTTGTGTTTCAGAGTCACACTGTATAGCTCCAGTGGGGTGTGCAGGGATGGGGAGTGACCCTCAGTGGGTGCCCTCTTCCATCTTTCAAGCAGATATAATTTCCCAGCAGTTCTTGAGGAGTGTAAGCCTATGGACACAGTGAAACTGACCATTTTTTAACCATAATATAGATCTCCTAGTATCTGATATGATGCTGATAGCCAGGTAAAGTTTGCTAAAATTTACTAAGCCAGGCTACTTTCCCCTGATTTATACTTGTAATAAACTAGGAAGGTACCAGTCCCATTTGAATCTGTTTGCTCTTATATCATTAGCATGCTTCTGTGGTTCTAGGTCTCAGGGATATGGTGGTAACCTGAGGTTCACAGGACATTTAATGTTATAATCTTATGACAGAGAAATTCCATTACCTGTTCCCTTCATATATTTGTATTTCAAGATTGGGCCTTTTCCATCAATCCTGAAGCACATACATTTATGATTAGAGGAATATGTACATGCCATTAAAACTCTTTGTGTCCTTTTTAACAAGTGAAAATAAATACCTTGAAAATATTTTCATTTTGCATCCTGAATGATCAAACTAGACACATTTAAATGCCTTCTTTTAGACTAACACTAGGATTTAATATCCTGGTTAATTCATTCCATCCTCATCCTTCTTGCAGATAGTACCAAGTAATGTGAATTGCATCTACTGATTTCTATGTAAAGATGAATTTAATATTAAACGATTCTGAAAACTAGAGAGCTCTGATTCATTTTAAATTGTTCCTAGCTTGATTCCATTTGCATTTGATGTGAGTGATTCTGCTCTGCAAGTGTCCTTGCTGGACTTGGTTAGTACTTCTGTTATTCGTAATCTGTATTAATTATCTACTAATTAATGAAAAACTGCTCTGACACATGACCTAAACCACTAATTAACTTTTTCAGGTTTTGTTTTGTTTTTTCTTAATGGAATTTTATCTGCTGCTAGACTGTGTGGAAGAAGAAAAGTTATTTTTATAGCAGAAGCAATTAATAGGCCTAGATCGTTTAGGCTTTCCTATCTAACCTGACTAGATCTGTTTGTCTTTAAGCTGTGTTTCAAAGCTTGCATTGTAGAGTGAGCCCTCAAAAAAGGAGTGGTGTTTGTTTGATATCTGAGATGGAGCACTCATCATTATGGTAATAGACTTGTGATTAACTCAGTTTTCAAAAATGTTGTACAAAACTTAAAAAAAAAAGGAAAGAAAACAAACATGAAAAGAAAGACTCCTTTTAAGTTTGGGACACCTGCTTTGCTTAGGTAAGTTATGCAACCTGTAAAGTCAGAGAGAAGGTAACTTAATCAGATAAAATGCTTTAGAAGTAAAGCTTAATTGCAGTGTTTTGTCCCATTCTAAGCTTTGAAAGGAGGTCATGAATGAGATTTCAAGTTACTACCTTTTCTGTTAAACTTGATGTTGATCTGGGCCTAATAGTGCTGGTTAGGCAATCTGAAAATAAAAAGGTCATTTAGCCTTTTCGTAGTTGAAGATAGCAAAATACTTAAGTTTTCTTGAAATAAGTATGAGAGAAAAAAGATTTACAGCATGTGAAAAAGTATGATTCAGTGTTTATCAAGTTATGCTTTATTAATAGAAACAATTCTGTAAACAGATGTTTTAGTGCTTACTTAAAATGAAACAGAATAGTCCTTGTATGGAGTTGGGGAAAAAGGATTTAAGGTCACAAATACTGTAATTGAGGGGGTTTTCTTATTAGGAAAAATAATTAAGTGTGCCTGCCACACAAGTCACAGTAGTTGGATGTGTGTGTGCTGCTTGCCTTCTGAAAGCATTAAACTCTCTGCTAAAAATCATCTCCTACTAGAGGCATTTTTTTCAGCCTCTGGTGTCTGGACTGAAAAGTACAGGGATATTGTTATTCTTGAGTACCCCACAGGTCTTAAAAGGCTGTATTAATTCAAACTTCAGTGTCCTTCAGGAGGAATATGGGAATATATTTTATGTGAGAATAAGATGCCGCATTTGATTGCCAGGCCATGGATTTCCTGAGCTCTGGCTCAGGGTTGGGATGGGTGCTAACATTCAGTGGGTCACGTGGGGGATGGTCACAGAGCTGGGGTATCTTTCCTGAATAAAGGAAGTCTCTGACGATAGAAGCAGCTCAGTCTTATTCTCCCAATAAACCATATTCTATCTGTAGAATGGCCTCATCTTGTGGGGTGTTTTTGGGGGTGGTTGCCTATTTGAGGACTGCTCTCAGTCTGAGAAAGGGAGAGCATGAGCTCTCTAAATTCCTGTTAGAGAGCAGTTACTCACATGGCTTCTCCGTGTTGAGGGTCTGTGTTCTGAGGAGATGAGGCCTCCCCAGTTCTGCACACTGAGATATTACCTGGGGAGGGGGGCAGGTTGGTTTTTGTGGTTTGTTGTTTTCATCTTGTTTTTTAAACTTAAGAATAGTGGTTTGACCCCAGTTCTAAGTGTGTTAATTTTAAATTTTGGGTAACTTGTTAAACTTGATTGTTTTAAGACTACAGTGAATTGTTCCACTGTATTTTCAACCATAAATCCAAATACGCCTTTAATATGGCAATGTAGCTGAATATTTAAAAAATGGATAAACTGATTTATTCCAAATAAACCACAGTATTAAGAAATAAAAAAGGAATGTTTTGTGTTTCTGGTTTAAGGCAGTCACTTTGGTTATACAAGTAAATAAAATGATGCCATGCTTGCAGCTCTTCAATGAAGCATTAGATTAGGAAATAAGTGATGGTATTGTGAGACAAGGATATTGCTGTTATTCTCAGGAAAAGGTAGAAGTGAGTAATTTAGCAAATGTTAGTAGTACAAGCACCATATTACTAAATTCACCACAGGATATAATGAAATTTTTGTCAAATGCCACTGCAGAAGTAATGCCTTTTGTTTCCTTTTGACATGATGATGTCTTCTATCAGTATTAACCATTATGTCTCCTATTGGTATTAACCTTTATGCTGTCAGGTCAGTCCTGCTCTCCTGTTCATTAGATCACATTTTTGATTTAAACTTTTTATGTACCTTTAAAAAACTTGAAGAAGATGTTTTTCTAGAAGTACTTGGGTTTTTTCCAGGCTGTTTTTGCCATATCAAGGAAATTATTTAAGAGAATCAATGCCGCATTATTCAAAAATTAATTTATGACTCAAAACAGGCAGTGAAGAAAGGCTTTGACTGAAGAAGGAATTAATTTAAATTCTTATTAAAGTAAATAGCTGTTGGTAACAGGAGCTTTGATGTAACACAGTTTTTAAATGATTTGAAGTGGTCATAGGCTTTGCTGTGCTGGATGTAGCTCAACTTGTACTTCATAGTTTCATGCATTCCTCTCACCCCCCTCCTATTTTAGGCTTAGCTTTTTCTTTCCTGAAATATGTAGTGGATTGGAGCTATAGGGTTTACTATCAGGGAGTTTTCCAAGTTCAAGAGACACATGCTTTCTTTTCCTGCCAGTTTGACTTGTTGTCTTCCAACTCTATTCAGGCATCTACCATTAGCTTTCCCTTGCTGTCTCTCACCTGCCTGTTCTAGGCTTTGTGGAGTAAATGATACAAGTCTTACACACTTATAGCACTTGGGAACACTTTAGACTACCTTATACAATAATACACACAATTGTTTTGATTCTTCATTGTTAGTTCTTTCTTCAAAATATCAGTGAACCCTGTAATTTGTGCTCTTTAAATATAGGACTTGTCGTGGCATGACTGATGTTGCAGGCAGTTGGTGAAATTATTTTTATTTTACTCCCTGAACATTAATGGCTTCAGGAAAGTAGTTGTGAGGCAGTTTTCTGACCTGCAGTTGTCCTGGAGTGGGAGGAATATGTGCAAATCTTGGTAGTCAACTTAGCCATGGACGTGTGAGGATATGCTTCACAGCACTTCCAGACTTACACAGTCAGGTAACCTTGAAATGTGTTGGTTCTCCATGTAATAAGCTAAAACAGTATTTAGTTGTTTATTACCTCCTAATTTAGGTTTGAATTAAATTTTTCAGGAAGAATCATCTGATCCTGCCATGCAACTCATTTAAATATTATTGCTATGTTGCTATTTGCTAGAGAATCTGAAAATGAGACTGCTTAGATAATTTTAATCATATAAAACAGAAAATGTAAGTGTGAAGAGATAATTGGATGAAATAATTTTCTCATTTTAAGATGATTTATTTTACCTGTCAGTGTCTCTTTATAAATGCTCCAGATGGTGGAAATATATTATTACATCTCATTCTCATTTTCAGTCTTTGAAATATAAACACTACTTCTGAAGAAGAGCAAATCAAAACAACTATGATGAGACTTCTTTGTAATGACTGCATTTTTTTTGTTTTATTTGAAGGTCATTCTGTGAGACTGCTGGGGCAGAAAAAGGATAATGGAAAACGTTTGGGGGGAGCACGACTGGATTTGCCAAAGATTAGGAAGAATCCACTGATAGAAATAATTTCCATCAATACAGGGTAAGAATCTTCCAAAGTTACAAAACATTCAGTACTGCAGAAGAATTCCTTTTATGTCTGCAAGTCTAGTGTACTACTCCTAAGCTACACAGAAGGAGGCAGGATAACCACTTTTAAATAGTTTAAGATATTAAATTGTATTAATTTTGGAAAATAAATCCCTGCTTATTTGGTTACAGAATGAAAAGAGCATTTATAGGGTTTTTTCCCCTCTGTGATTTTTTGATTTCTAAGATGGTAGTTCCAGAATACTTTTAGTAACTCATTATGATCTGTAAGCATCGTTAAGATCTGTCTTATGTGATTGTCAGCCCAGATTTATTAATGGCTAAATTAGATATAGTTACTTCTGTTTTGCTCCTCTAACCTGTTTGTGAAGAGTCATCATGTATATATTTCATTCTTATATTCATTTGAACAAGCTACTCTCTCCTGTCAATCAACTCTGGATGCCCATTTCCCAGCAAGGCTACAAGCATTTTCTGTTCTGTACTTCCGCTCTGAGGAATTCTATTTTAATCTTCCTTCCCTTGTTGCTTTCAGAAGCGTTTATCAATGCCAATTGGTATCCTTCCATTTTGTCAATTTTTAAAAAAAAAACAAGAAACAAAGCAGCAACAGCAAGAATCACAAAAGTCTTCTTCTGATTTTCCTATCTTCTCCAACTTATGTGGTAATTTCCCTGGTTGAATTTAAAATGCATTGCTCTGGGCATCCCAGGTAGGTGTAAACTTACTGCCTAGCATGAAAAAAAAAAGTGGTGTATCTCAGGTCTGAGTTTAGATTAGCACATTCATAAACATTTCATAGAGGAGTTTTGATATTATCTTCTTTCTCATTTCCTTGTCTTTTAGTAATGTGGCCTTCATAATTGCTGTGAAACCTAGTGTGCTGTTTTGGTCAGAATACCAGTTCAAGGTTTAGTGTGGTTACTTTTTCTTCCTCTGACTTCTGGTAAATATGTGGGTGACAATTTGTCGTATTGCTGAATTATAATACCTTTTTAAACTGCATTTTTGTTCACGGATTGGTTTTGAAGTCTGGGTATAAGCTCTTCAGTGTAGTTACTTCGAGTGTTCTACATTCTTTACCTTATTTTCTTTCCAATGAACATCTTGTTTTTGCCCATCAAAATCCTCTTCATGATTAAAACAGTTTTTTACATTTGCTGAGTCTGACTTTCAGATGGTAAAAATTTTCCTTTTCCATTAATATTTATCACAGTATAATGTTATAATATCTTTCTGGTTGTAAATGTTGTCAAGGTTGTGAGCTAATTGAGCTGTGGTCTTGTTCCTGTCTTTTGATGTACAGTAATGAATTTAAGATAGGAAAATTAAAAATACTATTATTTCAAATATCAGATTATTACTAATTTAATTACAGAGGTTAATACAAGGGTACTGTAGGGTATGTACACTTAGCATTAGGTGACTGATGAGGGTAGCAACCATTTGAAACTTTTTAAAATATATTTTGAACAGATGTATTTTTTTACTGTTTGAAAAAACAATTACTTCCCAAATTGATCAAAAGGCAGACTGTTAACATCTCCTAAGAAGTTACTCTCAGAAACCCTTTGCTTTAGAACCTGATAGTTTACAAACAAAAATTACGTTGCGTAGTAGTTCTTGCTGTTCTCAGGTCAATTAAATGCCTACTTACTAACATAAGACAATGTAAAAAAATATTGGAAGCCACAAGAAGCATATCTGTTTCATTGAGAAGAAAGTCAAATATGACTTGATAAGGCAAAAGCATTCTTAAAGCCTCAAACAAACAAGTTAGTTGTATAAGATACATAAATTAACTACTACTTCAATCTGTGTTATATTGCCTGCATTCCTCTCCTGAAATACAGATGTTTGGGTTTTCCTGTCTTTTTCTTCCCCTTTCCTAGTCTCCCCAGCTGCGTATCGTAGGTGACTTTTTTGCCTGGTGGTCTGGGTTTGAAAAACAAAGCATAGCTTTAAAAGGCAGCAGTGTGCAGCAGTTTCTGAAAATATAAAAATGTAATGAACAAAGAAGAAGACACAGACTGTATTAGTCACCGTGATTTGACTGTGCTAATTTTATCTGCTTTGCCTTAGTAGTCTGGTTATGTCAATTTTAGTACCAACACCACATTGGACCAAAGTTTTCTCTATGTAAAGACTTGAGGAAACTTTGAAGACTATTTTTTGGTACAGTGATCTTTAAGAGGTGAGTTTGGATCTGACTAAGTGGTCTTAAAATAGTAAAATATAATTTGTAAAATTTGTTAAAAAGAGTGGTTTCCTCTTTGGAAATATTTTTATCTGATACTGTTAAATGTTGGGAGCAGCATGAGCAGGGCTTCTCTGTGAGGGAGGCCAAGAAGGGAGGTGAGGGTGCCACCAGCCCAGGCAGTGCCCACTCCAGCAGGACACCTGGTGCCATGGGGCCTGAGCAGTGTGACAAAGCTGGGGGCTGGTTGTGAGAGCCATGAGCAGTCCCAGACATGGAAAATTCCATAAACATAGATTATGCTGTGTTGGAAGAGACCCACAAGGATCATAGAGTCCAACTCTTTGCCTGCACAGGACAGCCCTAAGAGTCACATCATGTGCCTGGGTGATGGAATGATCACCCACCCTGGCTATGAAGAGTACAAATAACACAGGTCTGAGGAGATGAGTGCAGGACTGGAGGCAGGCATGGTACTTAAGCTCAAGCCAGGTCTAGGAACAGAAGTCTGAGCTTCACTGGGGCTCCTGGTGCAGAATGGGCTGTGGAGGCAGCAGCTGAGGCTGGGCAGGTCAGCGAGGGCCTGGGGGTGCCCACAGGGCTGTGACAGGTGGTGCTGAATTACCATTTCCAGCTGGGGTTTTAATGAAACCTTGGCCTCTTTTGTAATTCTGTGGGGGAAGAAAAGGCTTATTGGAGCATGTATATTCCCTCCTCCCAAAGCACTGGAGTCTTCCATGGCTCACATTAACCCCTTTCCTTCTCCAGTAGGATGAATTCCTTTATGTACATGGACATCTGCCAGCTGGAGGTATTCTTCTGAGGGTTCAGAAGGACCACTTAATTTTTGGGAGTCTCCAGAAATGCTGATTGTTAAGACATCTCTCATCTGTGTCTTTGTTTCTTAACTCAAGATGGTGTCAAATTTGGTAATTTTGACTTGAGATTTCTTTTATTGATTTCTTCTGTCAGAAATGGAGGAAAAAAAATTCCTAACTCAAAGATTTCTGTCTTTGCAGAGTAGCTTTGAACTTTTCCTGTACTTGTCCAAGCACAAATGCATGCCTACATATGCACATGTCCCTCTGTGTTTGTATTGCCCGGACTGCTGCTGTACATGAGTGTCCTCAGCTGTTTGCATAAATCATATCTGTCCTATCAAGGGACAGACATATTGTCCACTGCACTGTGCAGTCTCTAATAATTATAATTAAAAATAAACCAAAACAAGAGCCCACTAGGTATGGAGTATCTGTGAAGATCAGGTACTCTCTGTCAGTTGTGAGCCAGCTCAGAGGTTTTGCACAGTGACATGTTTGTCCCTAAAAAGGCGTTGCTCTGCCTTTACAGGTATCTGTGTCTTTTTCAGAGTTTGGCACTTATTTTATTTATTTCTTTTTTTTAAAGTATTGGACAGTTTTTTCCTACTCTTCATTTTGAATGTCCTGAGGGTTGTTGTTTTCTTATTGAGAAATCCAACCTATTTGTTTAATTTACCATGACAGTTGGTGGTTTCTGTCAACAGACTGTGACTCTAGAGAAAAGCTCCCATCCCAGGAGTGACATGTTTCAGAGTTTCCAAGTATGTTTGCAGAGACTAATGGTGAATTACCAGAATAGAGGCACAGGAGATTTACCAGATTTCTCTGACATGCAAAGATATGTTAGTGACTCTTCATTTTTCCATCTGCAGATATGTAAGAAGTCCTTACCACCCCAGTATCCCATACAAGCTGTAGATTGGCCTCTGTAATTTCTCCCTAAGAAATAAGTGACCTTTTCTTCCTGTATGGTTTGCTTTCTCTGTTATTGTTTAGAAAACACTTTGCAATATTTTTCAAATCAATTTTTTTTTTCTATAAAATAGGCAGTCAAAAGCCAGGGATTGTCACAGTGCCCAGATAGCTGTCTTAATCTTAGTATATCCTGCAATGATACTAGTAGATCTGAACCTAGAAACAGAGAATTGCTCCTGTACTCCAAAATAATTCTCTGCTTTAAATTAAGGCATTTGGTTAAATCTCTTCCACTTTTATTTATGTCACAAGTATGTATTGTACAGGTCATCATCTTACTGGAACAAGCTAGGTAATAGTAGTAGAAAAGCATGTTAAATGCTGTTTGGAGAAAAGGCATAAATTTTTAAACTAATCTACTAATGTGATTATTCTGTTACTTTGAAGTAAGAAAGAGAAATGTTCTCAAGTTCATTTTGTATTACAGCTTCATTTAGGTTTAAGGAAAAATCTTTTTCTCCTTGTGGTCTCATCTTCATTAGTGCCAGTTTCATAACCCATGTAGCCACCTAGACAGCTCTCTTTACTGGGATCAAGACTTGGTTTTTCACATATTAATTAATTCTGTATCTGCTTTGCAGCTTGGACTATTACCCGTGTATCTTTGTTATTGTATTACTTGAACTTCCTTATTAACACTCACATACATTCAAATATGACTTTATTTGTGCTTTTTCTGGATGTCCTGGGAAGCATGAGTGTAATATCACCTGAAAATGAGCCCACACTAGAATTTACTGATGGGCGGATTTGCACATGGGTCTGTTGAAGTGCTTTCCATATTCTTTTTGAAGTTTCTACCTCTCCTATTGGAACAGGCAAGTAACTACACTGCTCATATGACTGGCTAGAGAAGAATTAAAATATACTGAACAGGGAATTCAGAACCAAAGGGAGCATAATAATGTACATGCATATATTAGACTAGATTATTCCTGCAGTGCTGGAGTATCTTAGAGAAGATCAACATGTTACTTTATCTCAGAAAGATTATCAGAT